AACATGACCTACCTCAAACTTTATTGACTCACTTCCCTAATGTGGGGCATTTATAACGTGGAGTGAGAGTGTGGTATTTTTATGGGTCATTAAAAAAAAAAAAAAGGTGTTGACTTTTTACATCAGCGTGGTGCAGTTTTTCTTTTCAGTCTTGGCATTTGTGAAGCATTGCCTGCTGATGATCAGAGACTAGGCAAAGGTAGAGGGGGTTACATAAGAAGTACTTACAAGGTGCTAATTATTCTTCAGAGTTCAATGCTTTTTCTCAAGTAGACAGGAAACGATAATCTAACGGCACATGTCGCAACACTTGAATTTGTATCTTAATAGGTGTAAGTAACGGGATGTGGCATCGTTTTTTTTTTTTTTGTTTTTTTTTGGTGAGCATATTTTGGTAAAGCCTAATTTGTATCAATTGAATTCGTTGCAAAAGACTGCAAAAAGCCAGCTGTCAGGTTCATTATTTCCCCATCTTGTCTGTACTGCAACAGGCTCAGGCTTTAAGCATTCATGATTTACACCACAACAGTATCACTGTGATGTTTCCGGACTCTCATCTTACCTGCCATTTGTTGTTTCTTCTCAGTCCTCGACAATCTTTTGAAGAAGCTTCTGTCATGATGTTATAATAAGCCGCAGGTCACCCTGGCTGCAAGCGTTGTGGTAAAATTCAGAATGAAAAGAGCGTTTCACAAAAATCTCATCATATCTAGTTAAATTTAAACATGGATTTATAGAAAGAATTTATAGTTGGTTAATGAAACAATAAATGTGTGCCAAATACACACAAGAATTACTGCACTGAACTACTTGGCAAGCATTTGGTTGTCAGCTATGACCACCAGTAGCTGACTTGGAAGGGAACTACCTAAATCCTCTGCTGCATACCCTCTGCCAGACATCTGGACGCTGTCTGTTTTACGACCTGCAACTTGAGCTTAGGGTCTGTCTGAATCCAATGTCCCAAAGTATGATTTGTATTATGAAGGTGCCTCCTAAAGAAAAAAAAAAAATCTAGCCAAAGGACACATTCCACTTAATCACGGGCTTTTTTGTTGTCATGTTGGATTGTGTTTTCTAGCCAAAGCTAACAGATTCCCTCTATGGTAAAATAAGAATACGTTATCTTACAGAAATCTAGAGTTGGCTGTTGAAAGTTTAATTCAGATGTTTTGCAGATTGAATTCGACGTTGATACTTTACTTAACTAGGCAGGCATAATCTTTAAGACCCAGGCTGATGTAAAGCTGATGGGTGGAAATGTATTTAATAGTTGCAGCTACATCTAAAAACTGACATTTTTATTTGCCTACTGCTTAGAACCAGGGGGTCAAAGCATCTTGCGTAGCTTGTGGCTTTCGCTTAAGACATGACCTTGAACTGGTCTGCCAGTCCGGACCTTTCCTTTTAATCTTGTTTTTAGCTTCAAATCACCTCTTTTTACTGCTCTCTAAAACTCATGTCTCCCAGACATTTCTGCAGTCTGTCTGGCTGCTTTTTTTTTTTTTTTTTTTTTTAAAAAGCACTTCTGATTTCTCCTACCTAACTTGTCACTCTCACAGCACTCAGCTGCTTTTAGAGAATCTTTTATCTGCCGTGACAGTCTTCAGTCTGTCAAAGCATTGGTCTTAGCTACGGCTCACTGTACTTGCCTACATAAACTTAACGGATTTTACAGGTGCTTTTGGAGCTCTCATCATTCCAAAGAGTAAAAGATGATATTTTGAATTTTCTTAGCAGCTCTGGGACAAACTTATCAATGCTGGACTCTTTGATGTTTTATTTAACTCGCATGTGTCATGCGTGTCCATAGTTAATGACCACATGTTTTAAAATGTGTTTCAGCGGGGCTCATAATCATTAACTAGCAAGTGTTAACAGAGCGTGGCTAATGGACAAGTTTCTCTGAAAGTGTGGCCTTGTGAAGCCAATCGGACTTAGTGGCAGGCACAGCAAAATGTTGTCTAGTTGCTGTACATCTCATTTCCCCTGAATGTTTTAAATGTGGAAATGTGTAACCTGCCATTCATTTTCTAAGCATTACTCAGAGTCCTGTGTAATTTTTCCCAGACTGAAAATCGGCACAAAAAGCAGCTGTTTTGATAATGGATAAGTTATGGGAAGCATTTTCTTTTCCTTTCTGTGCTTCCCGAGTTTGAAATTCCCCACATCGCATTGACCAGGTGCAGATAGTCCTAAAAGGAGTTGTGCAGTGGGGCTAAAGAAAGGTCATAAAGCAAGGACAGATAAGTAGAGTTTGTGTGATACAGTATGACCGATGATGGGCAGCGGTTTGGCGTTTAGTTGAGTCATACATTGGTCATCTTTGTTTTTTTATTATCAACTAGGCAACTGTGGAAAGTGCTGGAAGGAGTGAGTGTGTGGACATGTGTTCCAGTTTGCATAGAGTAGAAGGCTTTCCTCAGACTGACATGAGGGGACCATTAGCAAGCCTCATTAGGCTGAATGCCAGCCTGCAGAAACAGACTATGGAGAGGTCCAAGGTCCAGGTCAGCAGTCTGTACTAATAGCCTGGGGTATAGTGAGATGGCAATAAAGATGACTGCTGCTCCAAACTATTTTGCATCAGAGGATGGAAGAGAGTTTGGAGACTGTAACCAGGTTTGGAGATGAGGATCTGAGTAGAACAATTAAGTTTTTTTTTTTTTTCTTCTTTTTAAAACATGGGGAACAGGAAAGTGAATTGATGTGGTTTTCTTCCTGCCGCCTCCTGTATGTTTATGGGTTGATGGGTTTCAAGTGTTCTCAAAAATTAACCATAAGGGGAAACAGGCAGTGCCACGAAGGATACGTATTATTACGTGTTGGATTTTGAACCCTGTTCATCTTTCTGTACTACTAGCACTACTGTTTAGGCTTAGTAAATGACAGTAAGTGATTAAAAGAGTGCAACCTGTGGAAAATGGTTAAACTGCTGAATTGCTACCTAGCTCTTCCACAAGATTGAAAATATGGTGGCAGTTGAGGGTAGCCAGTAGATCCTGTTCTGTAAAGTTCTTGGAATTTAGTCTGTTCTGTTACTACAATGTCAGTCAGCACGTGCCTGCTCGCAATGGGCGGATTGCATGCTTCCTTTAACATAACCACTGCTGTGATTAAAAAAGCGGAACAGCTGATAGTGACTAAAGATAGCACACAGATTGACTTCTGTGGCACAGTTACACAATATAGTGATGTAACACTGATGAATCTATTAGATATAAATGTAGTCCTTTCTAGTGTTTGACCCATGCAGAGAAATAGGGATAGGTCTTTTTTTTCCCTTTAAGCAGCAATTTACTGATCAACTGTGTAAAAGTCTAATATACACATAGTATTGGCTCGTTTAATAGTTGGTGTCTAGAAGGATAAGTAAAAACTTTATGAATGTATATGTTGTTTCTAGTAAACACACAATGCCTAAACAGCAGGTCAGATCACTGCCAATTAAACAGAAACTCGCCTTGCATTAGCTTTCTGCTTTAAGCCGAGCGTTTCCTACAATTAGAGCAGTGGCCTTCAAACTGTAGGACAAGGAGCCACTGCAGGTGGAGGCCAGACAATCAGGTGAAAAATACAGAGTTAACTTAAAGTAATTTAATGTATGTTTAATAGAAATAAGCAAGAGATGGCTGATACTGCTGACAGTTCCTTTTTTGGATGATAACAATTGATAAACTTGGTGTGAGGTTGTGAGACTTGCCACAATTTACTCCCTGAAGGCCTGACATCAACCCCAGCTATATATCAAGTGTGAGGTAAATTGGGTTAACTGTAGCTGAGGGAAGAAAATAAAAATAAAGAATCCCTTTATTCATTAGTGCAGTGTAAATTTTTGGGACAGTGCATTTCTGGGATCCTTCACTTATCAATTAACCAAGTTTGTCAGCTTCTCAAACCCTGGTGCCATGAGTTTAGGTCTGACCTAATTGTTTATTTAAGCTGGGAAACAGATGGTTAAAGTTGGTATTCATCAGCGCTCATCACAACTAACATCAAATCAAATGAATTCCCACGACCACACAGATGGAAGTTATAACAAGCGTTTCTGCAGTGTGCAGAGTTGGCGGATGCAACTGCATCGGTTCTCCAGGAAATCCAACCAGCCTCCATAGGGAGGAAATGAAATGCGTGCATGCTGGGATGTGTGTGTTTAAAAGCAACTCCTAGATGACTGGTTTGACCTGTGATTACAGTGGACGCTGTACTCTTGTGAGCCCTTATCCCCAACTGTACAATTTGCATCTTTGTTTGAAGCCTGTTTTGGAATTTCAGTAAGCCACAAAACCTTACATATTATTTTTGTAACTATCCTAATGGATGTCATTCATTAGACTGTGTGTCAATTAAGATTTGCCCTTCATTACAGGCCTGATGATTTTTGCAGTCTTGTTAGTTTGTGTGTGATGGTCCTTGAACTGGAATTACCACAAGCATTTTGAGATACTCCATTAAATTAGCGCTTTCATTTTTTTTCTCTCCCAGAGGCTTTTAGCTGAATATAATGAGCTAAGCAATTTTTTTGTGTGTGTGTGTCACTGAAAAGGACTATACCTTTTTATTTAATTATTTTTAATTTGTTGCTTTATTTATTAATTGGTTAATCAGTAATGCGGTTTGGTTTTCAAGTAAAAGCTAGTCTGTAGGGTGCGAGGTAAAAAACAAACTTAAATTCTGGCTTTTCAGTGACTTAACAGGTTCAATTGTGGTGAATCTAAGAGGCACTGTAAGTCCTGTAAAATCAAATACTCATGTTAATATTTAGATATATTGCAATTGTATGTTATTATTGTAGATAATGGTGTCTAAATATGCAAAATTCATAGATGGGTATTTACTACTTGGGTCAAAAATTTGTAATATTTTCCTGATTGGTCTCTCATTAAGCTTGTCTTTCATAGAAGCACTCTTTTCTCTACAGGTGTTGCATTTCTGTTATTTTTATTTGACCTCAATGTGTACGCTATTCCTCATGCGCAAATTATTATCCTCTACTTTAGGTTACCTGTACAGCTTTCAGGCTGTGTCATCTGCACTTCACTGGTGTTGACGAGATACCGGGATCAACAGTGAGTATCCAACTTGCTCAGCTGGATTTTCAGGGTCTGTTGTGTTACATTCGTCATAGATGTTGATGCAGATGGTATCAGTGTTAATGCTCTTTTGTGTTGCTGTTTATCACCAAAAATAACTCAGAACTTCTCAAAGTAAATGTTTCTGTGCTTGATCTTCTTATAAGAAGAGCTGGTTTTATTAGATATGTGGCTACCATAAAGATTCTAGCAACAGGCTGTCAAAGTACCAGAGTGTTTATATGTATTACAATTGTAATAATATAAAAACTAGCATCCTTAAAAACAATCAAACTCTTCCGTGTGCCCTTCACTTCTAATTGGCTTTCAGATGTAGTCTTCCTCCTGCCACCTACTTGAAATATGGAGTTAAACTTTATGGACACTGGACAGATGGTAGGTCTAGCAACTCTAAAGTAATTCAGTTGAGTAAAAAATGCCAGAAAATAATATCTTGGTTGTCTAAGGTATTCATAATATTACTAAAAAAAAAAAGCATAATAAATAAATAAATAGAATAGATTGTAAAAATAAGGCGTAAACTGCTCTGAAATAAGAACTAGCGAGTAGGCGGCCCTTATCTATGAGTTTGAAACAGCATGTTTTGTTCCAGTAAATGCTTTGCTTCCCTCTCTGTGTATTTCTATCCCTCTCTCGCTTTTTCTTTCTCTCTCACCTCCTCCCCCAGCCAGCATAGCTGCTCTCCTCTACTCCCACACACACACAGACACACAGACACTACTACAGTCACACAAGAATGAGGGGGAGAAAAGAATGAGATGTGGTGAAAGGAAAAACACCAGGGAAGAGAAATGGAAATTATAATAAAGAGCGAAGGAAATTAATATAATGGGATAGAGAGAGATAAAACAGAAATCGGAAAAAAAAAAAGATGTGCGTAAGAATTTTAATGAAAATCTATTTGGACTCAAAAGTAACACAGGTGGTTGGTGAAGTCTGTTTATCTTGTAATTTAGAATCCTGGAAGTCCACGAGCCTTAAAAAAGAAGCGAATACAAATTTGCATGAAATATTTGGGAAAATTCTCATAAGATAGATTTGCATGAGTGTTCTCTTGCAGAACAAATATAAAGAAAAGCTGAGTGTATAGGACTCCTAATAATAAACCACTAAATTGCAAATGGCGTTTTCAGGCTTACACTATGATTATAATTTCTTTGACTTCTTCTAAAATGTGGTCTGAGCTTAATTTCCGTCTTAATTATAGACTAACACAATCTGGAAAAACTAATAACATGCAAACACGATCTTGAGGTTTAGTGAACACACAGTTATCATTTAAAGTTCAGGAAAATCAAAGTGAACCTCTGTGCTAACAGCTTCACCAAAACCTCCTAGGAGTGGGTGTTTCAATTGAGAGGTTCAGAAGTGTGAATTGTAGAGGGAGCCCCTCACGATAAGTAAGTTATACAAAGTCTGATTACTAACAAGGTCTGGTTTCCTCAAGAATGAGTGATTGCTGTGAACCATGCCCCGATCAAAACAACCTTTACAGGACCTTTTAGAAGAAGCATTTTACTCGAAAAGCATACAAAACCCTTGGATGTTTATCATTCCACAAGATCAATTATATTCAAATGGAGGAAACTTTGGACTGTTGCTGCTCTTTCTGGGAGTAGGCGTCTTACAATGATCACACCAAAAGCACAATGTGCAATATTGAAAGAGGTGAAAAAGAACCCATGAGTAACAGCAAAACACCTGCAGAAATCTATACAACTTGCTATAATCTTTGCTCACATCCTCACTATAAGAAAAACACTGAATAAGAATGGTGTTAATGAAACACCCCCATAAAGGAAACCACCACACTCCAAAAAATGCCTTGTGGCATGTTTATAGTAAAAAAATAAACAAAGAGAAAATCTCCTCTGTGCAGTAATGAGTTAAACACACATACATAAATCTGCATTTTGGAGGGAGAAAACGCACTAATTCAAAGTACGGTGGAGGCAGCATCACTGTCTGGGCCTGGACATAAAGTTATCAAAAAGAATTTCAAAAGGTGAAAAGTTATCAATAAATCCTGGGGAATGATTAGGAGACATTTCATAAAGCAATAAGGAAAAACGTCCATAGTACATAAATAAACAACTAAATGGTTAAGAGAAGAATGGCGTGGAATGGACAACTTGAGTCCTGTGGTCTGATTGATATCCCAGCCAAGCAAGATGCCGACTTGAAGAGGGGTTATCAATACAAAAGGTTTTGTATGAAGAATAGTCCAGAAATTTTCCTCTTTATTGCACAAATCTCATCAGTGGTTACAGGAAGTATATAATGAAGGTGGTTGGTGCCGAAGAATGTACATCTATTTTCTGCTTAGTCAGTTTAGGCTGAAGAAGTCAGTTGAAGAAGTTGCAGTTGAGTGTGTCTAGTGATAAGAGGAAATCAGTACCATGCAGTGACTGTCTGTTTAGATGGCAATGAGTCACAGTAACTGAAGCTAATTGCCATAAATAGTAATATGTCCCTAAAGAGGGAGGGGAGTTTTACTTTTTGCAGTAGCCTAAATGCTTTTAAGGACAAACTCATAAAATGTCCAAAGGTTCAACATCAATATTAACCTTGTTAACTAATAATGGCTCCAGATTTATAATTTGTCAGACAAATAAACATTTTTGTAGTTTTTCCTCAGATGAACCTCTGCGCTAAGAGCTCTTAAACAGTCAAGGCAAATTTAAAAAAAAAAACAAAAAAACCCTTGAGCTACAATTTGTGAAAGTCTGCACTTCACTCAAATTTTCATTGTAACTAAACAGAATTGATGTATTAGCCCTACATGGCCAAGCATCCATGTCTACTATAGTAGCTACATCTATAGTCACTCCTATACAGTGGTTTGCTAAGTTTGCAGAATCTATTTAAACACTTCTCGCCTGAATGGATATCAACTCTTTTTGAAAATGCACTTCCTTCACTTCCTGTTTGCCCAGGTTTTCCAGGTTTTGTTCCGCTGCAGGCAAATGCCCCATAGTGTTGACACATGTCAGTGGTTGTTTTACAACCTTGAACATCTTTGCATGAAGTTGAACTGATTTGATGGCATACATCTTTCTGGATGGTTGTAGCAGCACCGCCTGTGCTTGCAGTGTTTGTATGTATGATTGGAGGATGGAGGCAGCCATGGATGGATGGAAAGAAGAGAGAGTGAAAGCATAGTTGACTTGATGGACTGACTTACTCACTTACTTTCAGCATCCATTTCTTTCCCACTTTCAGTCTCAGCATCTCATCTCCTCCCACATACTCTCACATTGAGTGAGGAATCAGTCCTTCTCACTTCTATTATCTCTCCATATCTATCTCTGTCGCTCTCTCTGCCACTTCATTCTGGCCATTCTGTACCAATCGAATACGCCTGCTGTGGGTACGAATGAGTCCCACAGCAATCATACCACGTCCTCATTAGGTCTATTCTAGTGGCCCGCCTTATCCTGCTTCATCCCCTTTCTCCTATAATTGGGCAAAAACCTCTGCCTACCTGTCAGCAGCAGCCCCAGTACAAATGCTGCAATTTATTCTTTACTGCCACAGGGCATCTTAGAAGTGTGTAGGTTTTGACAATGGTTTCAGAGTAACCATGGGACATTGCTGTCCAGTGTCAATTATAGCAAATAGCTGAATCCTGGGGAATCAGTTGTTACACAGTCCACCACCACCTTTGCTACCTTACGTTAATGACTGTGGCACTGACAGAAAGAGGCAGCTTTTAAAAGTGAACACTCTCTGGTCACGTTATTAGTTACACTGGTTCAGCTGCTTGTTAAAGGAACTATCTAATCACATGGCAGAAACTTTAGGTGTATAGACACTGCCAAGAGGATCTGCTGAGGTTTAAGCCAAATGTCAGAATAGGAAAGAATGGTTTCTGCTGATACCAAGTACAGATCAATACCATTGCTAAATTAATCCTTTTTATTCCTCACTGAGGTATTTTGAGTAAGGATTGCACCAACAGCTGATTGGTAGATCCCTAATTTGTACTGATCAGCTGCCTTTGAACTAGCATCATTCAGCGATAGCTCCCAATGTTCACGATTGTGACTGTTTGGAGTCCTTGTCATGAAAGTGTTTACAACACACACACACACACACACACACACACACGACACACACACACACACACACACACACGGTAAATATGTAAACGCCTGTATTTGTATAGCACTTTTACTAAGTCCCCAAAGACCCCAAAGTGCTTTACACGTTCAGTCATCCACCCATTCACACACTGGTGTGACTGCAAGCTACATTGTAGCCACTGCCGCCCTGGGGCGCATTGACAGAGGCGAGGCTGCCGGACACTGGCGCCGCCGGGCCCTCTGACCACCACCAGTAGGCAACGGGTGAAGTGTCTTGCCCAAGGACACAACGACCGAGACTGTCCGAGCCAGGGCTCGAACTGGCAACCTTCCGATTACAAGACGAACTGCCAACTCTTGAGCTACGATCGCCCCATATAATTACTGTGTAATATTAGTAATTAAAGCAGCAACTGAATAGAAGTAGCACAGATGGCTAGCCATAAGCTGAAGGAAGTAATGAATGGCTGTACATAAGTAGCCTATAGGAACTTTCAGGCAGAATCAGTGGTCCAAGCTGCAGATGAAGAGATGTAGAAAAGGTTAAAAGGTGAAGTTCAGTAACTTGCATAAAAAGTAACATGGCAGCCACTGACAGAGCGGTTGTGGCTAATTACAAGGACACGACCGGTATGTTGGCCAAGCTTTGTGGTGAATTACAGTTTAACTGAGTGTGCGTTTAGCCATTTTTCTTATGGTAAAAGCATGTTTTGTGTTGGTGAAATAGAATTTAAAGGGCCTCCAGTAACTTGCGTATAATGATATGTCTGTGATAACATGGACTTATATTTTGGTCATTTAATGGCTGTTTGCAAAGAGTGCTTTAATGTTTTAAGAGTTTTCATGTAAAGACTCAACTGAAAATGCATCAGAATAATGGCTGTTATGTCT